TCGTGTCTGAACCGGCATTTGTCGCCGAAGCGGCAGCCGCGGTCTTTGAGGTAGAATTTACAAACGTTGCGGCTGTTTTTGCCCGCGGCATCGCCTCCGTTTCTGGCCGGTTTGACAGAGAGGAAGGGGACGTCCAGAGACACCGTCCACACGGTGTTGGCGATGCGCTCGTTGAAACGGTCGCCATAAATGGCAGCCAATGCCAGGGCTTCCTCTTGACGCTGGCTCAGGCATTCGTCCATCGGCACCCCCTGGAGGCCATCGGGGGAAACCGCTTTCTGCCCATAGCGTTCGCTGAAGACCTGGTGGAGAAGATGCTCCAAAGTCGACCCGAATTCTCCTCCGCCAGACTCCAGAGCCTGTTTGCTTCTCTCCCTGTCGAAGCCGTATCTTCAAAAGGGAACGCAAAAATGTTAAGAGAAAATAAAATATAAATAATAAAATAAATAAAACTGGTTTAGAGCATCAAGTGCTAAAATCTAGTGAAAGAAATTAGTTGTAACTTTTTTTTAAAAAAAACACCATATTATTTTGATAATGTTTAAATTAAACAACATAGAACTTTGGATAAATAAGAATGGATCCGTTTTCATTTTTGGGATGTTGACATTCATGGAAAATTATCTACAAAAAGCATTCAACCTGACAAAAACAGATATATATAATGTCACTGGGACCTCTAATGTAATTCTGTTGTGGAAATTCAACTAATTATTCAAAAACTGAAGACTTGCTTAAACCCGGATCTGTGGTTATATTTATAATTAAAGATGTTAGTAGAAGGAAGGAAAAGGGGATGAAAGAGAGGATAAAAGAAAGGTCGAAAGAAGAAAAGAAAGGAAGCAAGAAAGAAAGACAAAGAAACACACATATGATAACATCAAAAATAAAATTTGGAAAATCAAATAAATAGTAAAAATACTTTGGTTAAAGTCCAAACTTTTCCAGAGTTCTAATAGAAATTGATTAATTTCAGGAGCAGCTCACGTTTCACCTCCCGATATAAACTTTATGATGTGATCACCTGCAGAGCTTCCCAACGCAAATAAGGAGATAATGGGTTCAGTTGTGGGCCGGTCCTGCTCTTCCTCCACCCCTTCCTCCTCTGGGTAATAAGCAGGGCTCTCATCTCGCTCCACAGGCTCATCGTTAGTGACCCAAAACTGACCTTCCTCACGGGGATCCAACTCATCATATTCCTCCACCTCTTCTTCTGAATAATCAGAGCCAAACTCCCTGTTGCAAACAGAGTCAGATGTTGTGTCCAATAACTATTAAAATAATAACAACAGAAGCGTCGACTCACTCATAGGGCTCGTCAAAATCCTGCGTCTGCAGCTCCCGCAGCAACTCCTTGAGCTGTTCTTGGTTCTCATTGGTCATGAAGATTTTCTGCAAGGGCATGCTGCTCGCCTCGGGTCTGCTGCCCTCGTTTGCTTTCAGAGGGACCCTGAAAGTCGCGAGGGACCTGGGGAGGGGCTTCCTGTCGCCCTTCGAGTCCCTTCGGCGATCGTTAAATCCCCGTCCTCGTCCCGCATCTCTCCCCCTTCCACGCCCGGCACCACCGCTGCCGCCACCACTACCACCGCTGCCACAGCCACCGCCTCGTCCTTTTCCAGATCTGAGGAGACAGAAGTTCAAGGAAGGCAAATGGGATAAAGTGATAAGTGAAGCCGTGAATACCTGCTGGAGCGAGAGGGTCCAAAATCTAGGCTGAAATCGTCATCGTCGTCATCCCAGCGACCGGCTCCTCCTCCCTTCCGGCTTCCACCTCCGCCACCCCGCCTCCTCTGGGCTTGTTAAATCGCCCTCCTCCTCTGTTTGGCTTCCCTCCTCTTCTCCTGGCGTTCATCTTTCTGCTCCGACACACACAATCAGTGCAAAAAAAAAAAAAAAGAAGAAAAAAACACGCAGGATTTCTGCAAATAAACTCCCTTAAACTTCAAAGTAAGCAAACCTTCAGTCAGTGTTCCTTCATGGCTGCGAACCATCTATGAACAGAGACAGAAAAAGAGCAGATTGGATGTGTGTGTTTTCAGCTTTTATAGCAAGAAAAAAAAAAGGAAAGGCAGTCTGGGATCCTGGAAACAGCAGCAGGGACAGCTGATAGACGCAGAGCGAGGCGGTTACTGTAGGGGCACGACGGAGCGGAGAGTGGCTTATAGCTGAGGGGGGATTTTCAATTCAAGTGCAAAGCAATGAGATGGTGGCTGACACACAACGCTGTTGGCTGCAATTATGCAATCAAACCGCGGAGTAACAATCCCAGCAGAGGCGACACGGCTGCTCAGGCGTATCATTAGCAAAAAGAGCTATGAAGGTTAGAAATACAACAGAGAGTTAAGAAAAGTCAGATGGGGGGGATTGCTAGTCATTGCATTGTACTTTACAGAAAATAAGTCAAATTACGAACAGAGCATCAAGTACATCAAACAAAGTCATAACACTTAAACAAAAAGCACATTAATAAGCGTAAAACAAGACAATAATCAGTCATTAAAAGCTGTTCTGAAATGGTGGTTTTGAGACGTAATTTTAATTTTTATAGAAGATTAAATGAGTACAGAAACGCTGCAAAGTAAAAATCGAACTAACATCATCAAAATTGAATTTGCTAGTCAACACTTCAGCATTATTAGGAAAATGGTATTAAATTCAAGGCTACTTAAGTATTAAGAATTGTAAATTTATCTTTCCTATTCTTATTATTGCACATACCATATATAATTAGATATTTTTATTATTATTCCTGCTGCTTTAAGGTTGCCATTTTAGAGATATTAACCATTTCTTATTCTCTCTTTTCTTATGGACACACAGTTACTCCAATATGAAACTACAGCTAAATTTAATCAAAAAAACCTCTGGGTTAGCTCTTTTGTGGATTTTTATATATGTATATGTTTTTTAAAAATTCTTAACCGGTCCTAATCAAAACTTTTACTGTTGTTAAGATTGTGTTTTTATATTTGATTTCTTTCTTTCTTTATTTATTTATTTCTAAAACATACTCAGTCTAGTCTTTTACAATTCCTATTACAAGGTTCTATTTTTTTGGACATGTAGCTGAATAAGACTAAAAATGTATATGATCTGTAAATTGTCTTTCTGTACTGAACATACTACATTTCAGAGGTTAATGTGATTTAATAATATGTTAAAGCAATCATAAGCAATGAGAGTTCTTAAGGACACATCTAGTCCAGTTTACTACCACTACCCTCAGGATACTGATGTTCAATGAGGTCAATTAATTGGACCTCATTATTAATTTAAAACTCAAAGCATTCCAATTTGACAATACATTCAGCTTTTTCCATGATTGACCCCAATTAAATCATATTTACTGAGTGGGGATTTGTTTGCTCACTCAAAACTAATTTAATGTAAGGGAACTTGATTATATGACTTCAATAAATATTATCTGCAATCTGCAATAAGTCACTTGGAGTTATTTAAGGGGGATCAGAAGACATAATGTTTCGTGTATTGTACAAGTTAACATGTCAAAAACAAAGGCCATCATACGCATCAACTTAAAAACTTCATAAAATAAAAAGTTTAAATGAAAATAGTACACAAAGAAGATATGATAATTGAGTCTTTTATACTAATATGAAGTTAATAGTTCATCAACATACGTAGCTACCCTGAGAAATAAACTGTACAAGGTCTCGGCACATGTGTGCGAAAAGGTTTGTTTACGAATGCGAAATTAGCATTAGCATCCATATAGTTGGCTAACGAGCTAACAGCTAGCACGCGTCTAACTTCCACTGTAGCATGCTAGGCGATGTGTGAAAGATGTCCTCACAGCCCAGACTCTCATTCTTCACAGCGTGGAACGAACCCAACCGTCTGAAACGTGTCACAACAGACAAAGCCGACGACTCATACCTTTCAGAAAAAGAACTTTTAAAATGTGAACGTACCTGAAACAGCAGCTCCAACACACTCCGCCCCCCCGGCACGGCACATAGTCTTTCATTGGCCGAAGTTCGGAGTTCATACTTTCTTTTCCGGTTCTTGTGTTGCATCACTGTGGTTTTTAAACCACTCTTAAGTTACTCATAACATTTGACATTACACAAGCATATTGGTAATATAAATTTTCATGAAACAATACCTTAAAAATTTAGTTTTTTTTCAAACTACGTGAGAGGAAGTAGTGGGCGGGATTTAAAGATAAGCTCCGCCTCCTAATCGCTGTGATTGGTCCTTGATTCTCCAGTCTTCCGCTGCTGATAGACCACTTAAAAGGGGAAAAAAAGCAAGCAAACGTAATAAAGACTTTCTTCCATTCAGCTAGCATTACAAACTTTTCAAAATTTTTTTTGAATGTATCATGGGATACAGAGTTATATCATCATCAGCTAGTAATATTGATTTCCATACCAATCACTGCAAATAAAAAGGTGCATGTGCAGCTACAGAGGTAAAGCTTTTAATTGAATTTCTACCTGCAGAGAAAAATGTCTGACTGCCTTTTCTGTTAATTTTATCACAAAATGTACAAAAAGTCACACAACAGGCAAACTACAAATAGTATAAATTGAAAAGAAAACCCCAAAAAACATTTCTCATTCTTGTATCCACAATGTAATAAATGCAACAATACCATCAGCCATGTGTCATCATTGGGTTGAAAGTCCCCAGGTAATGGTAAATTCCTTCAGTTTTTTTAAAATCATATTTCAAGTTTTGAATAAGAAAAACTTGAAACTTAATTTTATTCATGTATTCTAAACAAACAAACAAAAAAAATCAAAATTAATTTTGAATAAAGCAATTAAAATTTCATCTCCTCCAAGGCATGCAGACTCATTGAACTATTTTGATACATTTTGGAAAAATTATTCACACCATTTTTGTCAAGTTTTCAAACAGTTGTAGTTCTTTCCGCTCTCCAGGGGTTGGCGGTGTTCGCCGTCGTCCGTGTTTTTTAATAGGCCACGCCCCTTCGAAGCACAACCTCCTCATTTTCCGCAGTGGTAGCTAGACCCCGCCGTTACTATGGCAACGCCTACCTGCAGCGAACTGCCGGAGCTCATTCTTAATGAAAACGTGTGAAAAGTTTAGACTAATCACACCAATTTGGGGACATCTAAGACCGATTCTCCAATCTCCACGACTCTGGGTTCAATTTTCCGACTTTACACTTTTTTTCCCTTTTTTTTCTTTCTCCCCCTTCACAGTGAAACAGCGTCTGTTGTGGACTCTGACAGCCATCTGCCAACTGAGGGAAGCTGTCATAGCATGACTGGTGAGGTGCAAATACTATCACACACAGAGAGAGAGAGAGAGAAAACAACAAACAAAACCTGTGATTCTATCTTCTGTCAGACAACAAAAAGGCACATAGTTTGAATATGTGAATATCCACGTTTATTTTATTTAAGTGTTTCAATGTATTTGGATGTGTTTGTCTGCAGACACTGTAATCCAGGTTTCCCTCATTTTCCAAATGGGGACAAGTACGGTGAGTGGGGACGTAAAACCCAACCAACGCGTGAACGTTCTGTCCTTTTTCCACAGGTTATGTCATTTCCTGTACAGGTTTAAAGAGGTTTACTTAAGATACTACAAAAGTCTACAAAGATTGCCAACTGATTTCATATTTGTTTGACTAAATGTTTTAGATAACCTGACTAGTTTATAAAAAAAATAATAATCATTCAGATGGTGACAAAAACTTAAAACAGTAGAATCAAGTATATAGATATTAAAGTAATCAGGAGTAGTGCCAGAGTTACATAAGCTGTTTGTTCATGTCACAGAGGGCGAGTGTCGCAAGTCTGAATCTGGAGAGCTGGTGAGAAGCGGCACAGGAAAACACACTTCAGCCAGTGGCATCGTATACACCGGAGAGTGGCAAGAGGACAAAGTATGCGCTATCCGTCTCTCTGTCCTCTTCTTAACATCTGTTTGTTTATGATGCACGTCTTTCCTCTCTCCAGATGCTGGGCAAAGGGACCCTGCAGTTTCCCTCTGGGGCCGTGTATGAAGGAGAGTTCAAAGACAACGCGTACAGCGGCTGGGGAACATACACATTTCCGGACGGCTCTATGTACAAGGGCCAATTTTACAATGACAGGTAGTCGCCAGAGTACCCTCAGGTATTTCAACTGTCACAACGCGCAGTTCTGAATGTCTGCAATGGTGTTTTATAGGCTGGAGGGAGAGGGTACCTTCACTGACACACAAGGCCTGAAGTGGACTGGAGACTTCCACGGTGAAGCAGCACTTGGTCTCAAACTGATGCACAACCTCTAGACAAAAAAAAAAAAAAAAAAAAAACAGACTAAAGAATCATTGTTCTAGAGCTAGACCACATTAGGAAAACACTAACACTGAAAGTTGATTAAACGTTCAAATGTGAACATCTCCATTTCTTCAGTAAAACAATAAAATATTGGAAATCTTGAGGAAGCAGAGTCAATGGGTATAGTTTAATCTAAAATATCCTTCATTTAAATTCTTCTTCTCTTCCTCTAAACAACACAGTATAAACAGTCTGCCTCGGGCAATCAGTGCAAAAAAAAAAAACCTTGCCAAAAAATTATGGTTTTTGGCAGGGTTAAGGCACCTCTTAAACAACAGATGTGGTAAGGGCCATTTATTTGCCACATGGGGGTAGAAAGGACGTAGTGGAGGTTTTAAGGTCTAAACTTGTCATAATTTCCAATAAGCAGAGTAAAAAACCAAGATATACAATTTCAATTTATTTCTCATCATGTTGACTTTGGAGCTACATTGTTTCAGATTGATTGACGTTTTGGATTATTTCCTTGCAAGGACGAAGACGTTTGTAGAAATGATGCAGATTTTATAATGGATTTTGTTTTTATAACACAAAGGTTGTTTTGGAGACACTCATAGGGACAGGCTTTAAAACCCTGGAAGTCAGCCTGCACCTCACTCTGAATATATTCTCACTTTCATGCGTAAAAGAAGCTGGTGCGGCGACGTCGACGTGGCTCTCGTCGACGGAGCCACATTTTTCTAAATCCGGCCCTGAGGTTCTCCTGACAAGGCAAACACTGAACTACTAATCTGCTGCATGGTTTCCTGCCTCAAGACGTTAAAACTATTTGTGCATTTTTGTTTCATCGACTTCATTTTCCACATACATTTTTTTTCGATTTGTTATATGCTAAATTATACGATGAAATGCCAGTTAATTAATTTGATTAAGCCAAAGAGCAAGAACCCATGAGCAGAATATCTGCAGTTCAGTGGGCAGATATCTGAAATTAGCTCCTCACGTTGTAGCTCCGAGTCACTTTCTGTGCTTCGGCACAGCAAGTGCCTGCCCGCGTCAGCTTCATTTGACACATTACATTATCGGACGGGTTCCGCTTTGGGCGCGTCGGCTGTTTGTGACGACTTCGCTCCCAACTCTTACTCCAGGAATATTAATGGAAAGTGGATGAAGTCAGTTCTCTACTCTCTTGTTTACTCCCGAATCCCTCCTGGATGTGTTCCACCCGACCTCCAGCATGCACGAATACACTTGGCCTGACGCGCAAACAAATCAGATCAGAAGCAAATAAAGTTTTTAAACAGGGTTTAATAGGGAAACTCTGATATTGTAATTTATCACTCTGTTGTATAATGCCACTGTGGATCTGTAATTGCACATACCCCTGAATCAATTCAGTAAAGAGAAGTAAGTCCGTCCAGAATGTACAGATATGGAAGAGTAATACACACATATAGATACGGTACTGACTTCCACAGAATCCTACACACCTCATGTAAAACACTGTACAAGATACAAGACACAACTATATATATATTTTTTTGATTGCACAGTTAAAAGGTAGAAAATAAAACAACTGTATTGCAAACCTCCAGTAGTGTTTTCAATGTAAAAGTGTCAACATAATTAACAAATAGGAGATGGCACTCAAATTTGGCACAAGATATATACATAAAAAAAAGAAGAAAAAAAGAAATTAAATGCAGCTGACAAATACAACTTTACAACTGTGTACACCTTCTGGAGTTAGTTTATTGTACTGAACTATGAGAGTGAAGGTGTGTACTTTTCTCCATGTAGTGAGCTAGACAACGGTGAGGAAGATTTTAAAACTCTTGCTATATGTTCTCTCCAGAAACCTGAGAATATATATAAACTATTTTTAAACTCTTTTCTTTGTTAATAAAATTGTGACTTTAACAGGCAAACAGAATAATGATAATAGAGCTAGAAATAGTTTTTTTTTTCTTCATAATTTCTGAAGTAAGATTCTTTTTTTAAAGGTTGCAAGCTGTTAACATCTTACCTGCAGTCGCTAACTTTCTTGACGTCATCATTCAGGATAAACCAGACCAACTTATTCGGAGTTATATTAATGTAGACACCAAAGGTATTTTCCACTGCATGTAAGATATTGATTGCTTATTACCTTTTAACCCAACTCTGCTTCGGGAATCCTGAAGTGTCCCCGTAATGTCTGAACACAGGTGCAGAGAAAATGTTGGTCATGCACAGTTTGTACACAAAGGCAAACAGCCGAGCGTCAAGACGAGCATCTTACTGTACGCAAAGACGCGGAGGAACTTGTGCCACACAGCAAGTACACTACAAACCAAAAAAATATGACATCGAAACATTCTGCTGTGCTTTCCGTGTGTGTAAACAACTGGGTTTGGTGCCCTGCTTGGGTACTCCAAAGTGAGGGAAGAATAGCACAAAAAAAAAAGGTAACAAAAACAGCACCAATTATTGTAGCAATCAAATCCCACCGTCGGTGTGCTGAGCAGTTACATATTGTGCTGTAGTTGGAAAGATAAACGTGGTTTTGATGAGTCGCTACAGATTTCCAGCTGTTCCATGTAAGTGCTAATTGCTGAGATTTGAGAAACCCAGATGGTTCAGGGGAAGCAACTCCACAAACAGGAAAATGTAGTGACTGTTGAAAACTGTGTTGAAGTTGCTTACTTAATCTGCAGACTTTCTCATTTGTTACTCCTTTATGACACACCAAAAATGTCCCTCAGTTTACTGAATGCTAACCCTACCGTACATAATATCAGTGAGTAGCTAGCTTTATTACCACATAATTTTGTTTAATGTATTTTTTATGCAGGACAGGTTTGAATCTTCCTGAACTTTCCTGTGGAACAATCCAGAACTCTAGAGCTGGCAGGTTGTGATATGTATAGCAGATGGGCAACATCTGTGTCTGCAAGTTTAACTCCAAACTCAAAATGAAAGTGACTCTTCCCTTCAGTTCTGTAGTTTAAATATTAAGCATTCATCATAGAGCTTTTTTTTTAAAGAAGGATTATTGTTTGACATTCCTTTAACTATATTTGCTTTGCTTTCCTTTTATAAACATCCAAAAATATACTAATGCACCTACAGCTGGTTTTGCTTCCCTTTTTTCCTGTAGCTCCCAGAACCATATTTTTTTTGTTTGTATTTACCATTCCTCTTGTAATTTTTTTTTTTAAGAAAATGCATAAAACAATGTTTGAGTTTCTGCTTACAATCTAAAACCTAATACCTCCAGCTAATTTGTTTCGAAATAATAATAAAAAATTGGATTTCAACATATATTTAAAAAAAAAAAACATTAGAAAATGTTTCTAATTCAAAGTTAAAAATAAATAAAACATAACAAAGGAATCAGAAGAGCACCGACTTACTAAAGAAGAGGGACTGGGGTTTTTTGGGAGGGGGGGGGCAGTAGAACTGGCTGAAACAGTGTCGTGCTACAACAATCTGAAAGGTTTTTGAGCTGCTACTTTCATTCTGATGTGCTTACGGATTCACAGTAGTCTTAGGCACGTTATCGTAGAAAATGTAAATGTGCGGCATCAAATCTACCTGATCTTACCTGCGTTTCTCCTTCCTCCTGAGATTTGACCAAATACAAATATTGTTGTATGCTGTCGCCTTTCAGTGAAACTCAGCTAACTTCTGAAATTTAAAAAAAAAAACACACTTCAGTCGACATCTGCAGTGCCACGTCTCCCTGCCGCCTCCGCTTCCTCCCAGCGTCGGGCGCTACGGGTTCTGCAGCAGCCCCTCCCACTGGATGGGCTGAGAGAACACCTCTCGCTCCAGCCACATCTCGTAGCTGTAGTGGAAGTCCTCCGGCAGCTCCACGCGCTGGCCCAGCACGCTCTGCAGGCAGTTGTCCACGGGCGCGAAGTCGCCGTTTCTGTTCCTGTCGTAGCGCCGGCTGTTGAACTTCTCGATGTTCTCCCGCAGGGCGCACTCCTCCGCCTGGAAGTCCCAAGGTCGAGCGTCGATATCTGGCGACAGAGAGCGGGAGAAGAACTTATACTGGCACGCGTCGATCGAAATCAATTCCACTTTTTCAGATGGAACATTTGTGTCCCCATTTGCTCGTCTCCAACTAATCCGTCCTCTTCCAATCAGTCTGTGCTTCTCTGACTCTCCTATGAGGAATAGTGACCCTGAGAAGTCTCCCCCATCTATGTTGCCATGGCAACACCACCCAGATTATTGCAAGAGACTGGTGCAGGATTATGTTTCAGAGCGAACAGTAATACTAAAACTAAATGTGCATCATGAGGAGGGAAACGCTGTTAAGAAAATTTCTGGGTTTTGCCTTTTTTTTAATCGCACTGAAATGTTACAAATCCAACATATTTTAATACTGGAGAGAAATAAACCTGAAATAAACACAAAATTACATTTAATGACATAAAAAAAAAAAAATCTGTCCAAAAATCCTTAGGTTTTTTTTGTTGTTGTTGTTGAGCCAATTGGGAGTTGCGTTGCTTTTCAAGATCTTCTAGACCTCAAACCTCAAAAATATTAGCCGTTAGAAACGCAGGTTTACCGTTCCCGTAGGCCCAGTCGTCATTGAGCCTGTGGCGGACTTTCTGGTAAATGGCCGACATTGTCTTCATGTTGCTCTTCCTCCACTGGCGGCCCAGGTACTTGGTCTGAATCTTGAGCAGCTTGAGCACGTAGAGCTGCATCATGGCCTGCTTGACCTTCAGAGCTCTCTTCAGGATGGGGGCTGACTTAAAAACAACCAACATCTGAAAAGGACGAAGACATTTACTAAACAAAACAAACTGAAGAAAAGAGTATTTTGAGCTTTGAATTTAAGCATAAAAACTTCTTCTTGAGGAAAGGCTTGTTCTTACAACACTTGTTTGGCATGTAGATAGCATAAAATGATTGTTATGGAAACTCTTATTGCCCTCCTGCCTGTGCATGCTAGCACCATAAATATATATATATTTTGAGATATTTATTAACAGCTCTGACTGAAAATGAGAGTAAGCAGCTATTTTCTCGTAGTTATTTCCTGTCCCGTCTTGAGTCATGTTCGCTTGTCTTTCTTATTATGAACAGTGGCATTTTAAACATTTGTTGTAAAAATCTGAACACTGAACAAAATATTGGATTGCAGCTTGGAAGTATAAGAAGTTAAATCCGGGCCTGCCACCTTTATAATCTAAAGAGCTATTTTTGCTCTCAGTCTAGCTAAATAAAAGCCGTAAATGTTACATCACAGTAAAACAGACAAGTACAATATATATTTCTTTTATTTCTACTACTGAAAACATTTCAAATGACTCAGAAATATTTCTATTTCTAAGTTTTAAAATCAAAAAGAGCATCAAACTTTAGCATGGACATGTTTTTCTCCAAGAGGATACTAATGTGATGTAGAAAATGGTGTAGAAAAAACTCATATGTTCCAATATAATGGCAAAAAAACAGATATTATAGGAAAAAAAGCTCTTATTATTGCTCAAATTAATCAACGCAAAATTACACTGCTGCACTTAAATATACATTGCAGCTTTCCATACATTTTCATCAGGGCTGCCATTGGTTTATCAAGACGTCTCACACACACACCATGGTTCTGGAGTGTTTCCACTTGGTCAGCTTGTTGAGGATCCTCAGCAGGTTGATACAGGAGAAAAGGTTCCTCCAGCAGAACTGGTTGTTGTCTCCTGCTTCCTGAAAAACAAAAACAAACCAAACAAACGCACCTCTGCAGAGTCAGAGCGACGAACAGATGCTAGCTGATCTTCTTCTGGCGCTTTCTGTCACTCACCAAGCTCTCGGCCGTCAGCTCAGGCATCTCATGGACCACGCAGTGGGGAAAGTCCAGCACGCAGATGCTGCGACATCGCAAGTTTGCGCGCATGTAAGGAAACGCTCTGCAATGTTTTTTATTCAGTATGCGAGCGAACGTTTCCTACCTGTTTTTGGCACTGATGTAGGACATGATGTTCTGGTTGAAGAACTTGAGGATGAGCGGGATGCAGTTGGCGAACACCAAATGCTGGGAGACTATTTCGAACTGCGGGAAAAAGAAATGCTCAAAGATCGGAAATAATCTCGTTTTGTTAACGAGGTTTTGCATGTGAAAAAGGTCAAGAGTCGGAGGATTTTATTCTCATGCAGCAGAGATAAAAGTCCTTCACATTGCTGGAAAAGCTGCTGAACACACAGCGTCAGTTCAGCAGCGGGCTATCAGGATTTAAAAATCAAGTGATTAAATATGAGATAAACTTCCATTTTTTATATCTAATCTGAATTATTTTGCTTATTTGTTGTCAAATAATGTAAAATGTATAGTGCCTTTACAACCACAAACCTATGTGTAATTTATTTGGATTTAATGTGCCAAATCAACCAAAAGTTAATACATAATTGTGAAGTGGAAGGAAAAACAAATTCCACTTTTTCCCTTTTTTGTTTTTCTGAATTCAATTCTGATCATATTTATTAACCACAAGAGCATGTAATTATGCTGTGGATAAAAAACAAAATTAACAAAACAACTTTGCTGTGCTTCCCCATCATTTTTTTAAATTAAGAATGAAACAATAAGGAGCAAAACTAAGAGTCTTGTTTTTGACACAGAAGACTCCTTATTAAAAATGCTTTAGTTTTACTGAACAGCAAAATACTCGTCGGGTAAAAAACGTGCAAAAAGCAAAAGCTTGTGAACACTCCCGTAATGATCAAGACATTAGTTCATTTTCATTTCTTCCACCTGCCATTGAAGTAATAACTGTGGTTGTTTAGATCTTAGATAGCTCTGTGAAAATGTTACAGGGCCCTAATATTTGTAAAATACTTTAATGCATGCAGTTCCTCTTTGTGGCAGCAGAGGGAGCCTCAACTCTACTCAGCAGCAAACTGAAGGAGATTACAAAAACCGTTTCCTCATAGCAACAGTAAATGTCTGCATTAGTGCGTCCCTCCTTAGCGGAACGGAGTGATGATGTCTGTGGGGCCGGGGGTTGTGAGTATGGGGTCAAAGGTCAGGGGAACACTTGCCCTGATGGCTATTACCTGGTAGATGTGGTTCAGCTTTAAGTGCTTGAGCAGCAGCAGCAGCAGGGCGGAGATGGCCTTGACAATGATTTCTTTGTGACGGTTCACGTCAATCCCCAGCTTCATGCTCTGAAGGACGGTGATGCTGCAGGACACACACACGCACACACACACACACACACACGCACACACACGCACACACACACTGTAGCTGTAATCCATAAGATTTGTATGACACAAATATGTCTAGAAAAGACACGACCAGGCTCTTCCTCCTTCGGAGTCAAGGAATAACTCAGACAAAACGTGTAACATTTTGGGTGGGAATGTTTTTTTTTTCCCACTGACTGCGTCAGAGACATCCAACAACATAAATAATGCAAAGCGGTTTATGTTCAACAGCGCCTCCTTTGGACAAAAATATAATAAACAAAAGATATGACGAGAACTGTAACTTTCTGTCTTTATGGTTAGACAAACTGTGACGAAAGCAGACAAATTCTGTGGAGTAAAAGTCACCTGATCAATAAGTAACTCCTGCCTAATGACTAACTTAAATATTTTTAGACTTTATTTGCTATCTTATTGTCTTATTTCCCACACACCTGTCCTTCCTTCCTCTGCTTCCTTTCCTCTAGCTTGTAGTTCCTGTTTTGGGTGGGCTTCATATTCAAAAGTCTACCCAGTGTGAAAATATCTGCCATAAATTCATGAGAAACTTTGGTATTTATGACGTTAAAATAAACACAAACAACAAAAGAAAAAAACTCTGTAAGGAAGTTTGCGCTTACGGCATCTCCTCGGGCAGCACATCAGCCAGGATATTGATTGAATCAGTTTTGGCTTTGGATGTCGGAGCTGCTGCCAGCAGGAGCTTCAGGAGGGCAATCTGATGAGAATACGAATACAGGCAACTTTACATTATTCATTAACAGGTGGCTTAATAAAACCTGGAAATGACTTTCCAGGTTTTACCAAATGATCAACTTTATTCAGGAACTAAAACTTAAACTTGTGTCTGAGTAAAAAAGAAGCTGTAACTAACTTTCCGTTTTCTTTGCATGTGTAGCACATTATAGCACCACCTATTGGTCATATTACACCATGACGTTTTCAGTCTGAATCAAAAGGCTGAAATGCTTTGGCTATATTTGAAAAAAGTGCTCAGGTTTCCTTCACAGAGGGGGTACGAGTAATGAGAAGTTAATAAAGAGCCACTCACCACGTACTGCGAGAGATTAGGAAGCATTCCCACGTATAAAATCTCAGCAGGGGTTTCCTCCACCTCCTCCTCACCCTGTCAGCACAACACACACATCCGACAAGCACTTACTGTGTGGAGTCTCTGACAGAGCTGCTTTTAATTAGCGTTTTAATTTAAGCTTGCACCAAATATAACAATGAATGAAGAGAAATTGAAACGGCAGCTCACCAGACTGAGTGGACACTGCAGGAGCTCCTCTTCTCTCTTGATCTGGATCTCAGATACCGACACATACTTGTGCTAGAGAAGAGAAGAAGGAGGCAGCTGCTGTAATGGTTCCAAATAACCGTTCTGTTATTTAGACTGTGAAAAAGTTTGGTAGCTTTTTATTTTTGCTTTTTGTGGATCGTTCGACTTCTTTAGACAAAGGCAAAAATAACCAGAGGAACTTCAAAAAACATATTGAATAGAAAAGCCTTTGAAAGCCACGCTGACCCTTTGTGAAAAGTCATTTATCTAAATAGAACCAGTTTGACAGCATGAAACTGCAAATTTCAAATGACAAAACAAGAGGCCGGGTCCTTTGGCTAACGATTATTTTAGTAATCGATTAATCGGATAAGAAAATATGCAAATTTTCAGATTTTCATTTAACCCCTTAAGCCATTTTGTGCAACAGAAGTGAATTAAAAGATGTCAATAAACATTTCAACTTGTTTTTCAGATAAGAAAATCAACATTTTGTCGCCTAAAATGTAACAACATTCAGTTGGTTTAGTGAATTTGAACCAGGTCAAGCTAAAAACAACATTTAAAAAAAACATATTTACAGACAAATATGTTTTTAACATGAAAGGAAAAATGTAAAGATATTTTTTACAAGTTTGGTTGAATTACTGCTCAGTTGATGACTGTTTTGATTACTGTTGATTAATCAATTAATCACAATTAATCCAATTCAAACATAAGAAAGAAAGTCATTGACAAATGTCAGTCTGGAAAGGATGACAAAGTCATTTCTCAGTAAACCAAAGTGAGAGTCAAAACAGTTATTAAGTTTGATGTGCCAGATTGATTTATGGCCTGAAAACTGCCCAAAAAAAAAAAAAAACATCTCAGGGTCCCATCTCAGGGTCACAGCACTGTGAAAAGTTTTTGTAGAAAGCAAAGCACAATAGAAGTTCGCCTACTCACCTGTTTGAGGGTCTTGACACTCTCATGGATGGCCTGGGTAACCCCACCAGGGTTTCCGTGTCACTGTGGGAGAACGAAGGGTTAAACCTGGCAGCGAGATGAACCGATTGACCTTCAGGAGCGGCGCACTTACTTTCCCAATGTAAAACCAATGAACTTGTTCCTGCTGGTCTCCAGGAAGTGCTCGATGTCCTTCTCCCTGTGAATAGAAAGAATCAGACGGTGGCCCTGCAGGAATCAGCACGGCTCAAGAAAGAGAAACCCAGCAGCTGGGTGTTCTGATAACAGATACAAAGATGCACAGCTATGATCAGACGCTTTATTCATGTGCTCTGAAGCAGCAGCGGCACCCTGCAGGCTCCTCTCTGCAATAAACAGATGGAGAGCATATTGCTGCTTGAGTGCAAAGAGAGAAAACTGGAAGGAATTTTTTATTTAGACCTAAATTTAACCTTTTAAATGCTGGCATGTATGAAAGTAGGGAAAATTAGTCCTGACACCACAGCTTTTCAGGCTTCAGCGACAGGAAATGGATGGACAACAAACATCACATTTCTGACTGGAGTTCAGGAATTTCATGATTTGACAAACAAAACAAAAAAGAACAACCAAGAAAACAGATAATTCATCACAACTAACAGTTTTAGCCCTATACCGAAATAAAATCTTCAAAAAAAAAAATAAATAAATTTCAGCATTTTCAACTTTCTTTGAAATCCTTCAGCGAATGAGATGCTCACCTGACTTTGGGGGCCCACGGCAGGCCTTTGGGGAAGTTGACCCTCTCTGTTGGGGGTCTCAGTGGAGGCGGAGGCGGCGGAGGCTGGATGATGACGTCCCGATCCAGGGGGTCCACTTCCCCCTCGATGCCGCTGTCCGTGTCCTCCGGGTCGTCCTCTTCGTCACGGGCGTCATCGTTCTTGAAGGGGTCCCGCTCGTTGTAGGTGTCCAGGCTGTCCTGCTTGACCAGGGGCTGGACGGGGAGACAGAGGACAGGGAGTCAACACTCACAAGGTGAGACTGTACTTACGGGAGTTCAAATGTGCCATCTTGGAAAAGGTAACATTCTAATCATCTTTTAATCTTTATTTCAGTTGCTTTTTGGATGAACGTATAAGAGCATTGACAGGTCATTAAACTTACCAGCCCACACTGTACTCTAATATAATGGCTGATTTAATGTTTTTTTTTTTTTAAAAAAAAAGGACAATTTAGAGTTTGAGCCGCAATTATGAGAACGGGTGAAATTTTTCAACATTTTGCCTTTTAACAGTTGCGACGAAACACACAGGAGGACGAGGGACACGTCAGTCAAGCGCAACTTGCACACACCCACGCACACCGGAGAGGAGGACAAACAACGACAACACCTGTTTGCCTGCGGCACGTGTAATAAACCCACAGGAGCTTATCCAGGTTTACAAAAAGAAAATAAATATTCCACTCACTGGCTCATGGTTAAAAGCAGTGGTTGGTAGTTACATGTAGATTGAGGATGTAACAAGAAGTCAGAAAATAGTTTAAACGTTTCTTAATTTGAAAAAAAAAAAACTTCAACGTCCTTGTCGTTTGTTATTGGATTAATCTAAACTAAAAATTGCAAGAGCAATTAAAATCAAGAATGTCTGACCACAAACAACTTGAAGAAAATGTATATTTATGTTTTTTATTCTGAAATTAATTCATATTTTCTAGGCTCCATGAAAAAAAACAACAACCAAAAAACAACAACCAAAAAACAGTGATACTGCCATCACTGTTATTATCGATCAAAATTGGCAACAATTGATGGTTTATTGGCTTCTTGTGAAAGCATCCTGCAATATATTGCAGATATCCTTTTAGGTTAAGCATTTCCACATTATAATACCACCACCACCGAACTTGGCAGAAATCAGAATCACTCAAGGATTTTGAGGTGAAATAAAAATAAAAAGTCCCACTTACTGTTACTATTATTAGATCATTATTTCTAAAATCCATCATATTTTCTGATTTGCACAAGAATACAAATCAGAACGCTGAAAGTTTTTCTAAAACCTCAAAAAACAAACTCGGGGGCGTGGGGCTGTTTGACTTAAGTGGGGGACAAAAAGAACATTTCCACAGCAACCGACTCTTGTTTTGAACTTACCACACAGGAACAGGAACATCAGAGGAAACAGGCACACGACTCAAGCCAAGACCGAGTTTTCACGTCCAAACAATCCCATTCCGAGTGTGAACCGCACAAACTCACACAGTGTGTGAATGGCAACGGTGCAAGCATCAGGCATGAGTAAGCTTTCTGGCCGCTAGCTGGACTACTGCAGCTGATGTATGGAGCATCAGTCGGGGAACTAGAGGTGACGGGTACATAGGGTGTGTGTGGTGGGAGGGTGGTGGTGGTGGGGTGGATGAGAAGAAAGGAGCAGGTGGAACTGTGTGGGGAGCCATTCTCTATGGAAAAGCCATTCACTGCTGAGTGAAACGACAAAGCCGGAGTTCTGCTATCGGGGTTAGGAGGGCCACCGCTTTCAATTACATCCAGTTGAGAGCTTGGAGAAGTTCAAGCGAAAAATAGAGTCTCAATGAATGCATTTTGAAGGAAGTGGCCCCGCGCCGAAACGCTACAGCGCGCGGTGGCTTGTTTTGAAGCTAAAAGAAACTAGCCGCAATGTGATGAAGACTGCAGGAGAGATGCTCCTAAAGTGAATGTCTGGAGAGAACTGTCTATATGGGAGAGTGGAGAGAGTGACCACTCCAGAGCCGATGGTTACAGCCAGCAAGTCAGCCCTGTTCCGCCAACCCTGCTGCCCACAGAGGAGGAGGAGAGCGGGAGGGAAGGAAGAAATACAGAGCACAGACAGAGAGAGGAGGAACTGGAGAAAGTGGGATAATGAGAGTCAAAAGGAACATAGGAGGAGAAAGAAAAGAAACTAACAGAGAGGAAGGAGAGAAGTGGGACGGCAGGGAAGTGGGAGAGGAGTGCAAAATTCCAGCTCGGTGCAGAGAGGAAATGCAGGAGGAAAAGAGAAGGGAATTTGTGGGTAAAGACCTGCTTCTTGGGAAAGGGACTGTCTCCTTCCAAGCTATCAACAAAGGCACTCTGTGGGGACAGAAGGAAGAGGGGCAATGAGAAACCAGAGGGCAGTTAGAGCTCTAATGAAAGAAAAAAAATAAATAAATAAGCAGAGGGCTGGGAATCCCACCAAGATCATCTGTGGTCACTGACTTACAGCAGGGAACTGATGATGTTGGCGAAGCAGTTAGAGAAAAGCTGCAGAAGATCTACTCTTCCATGCTGATGAGGGGTTAGCTGTTAGTAAAAAACAGCTGAGGTGTGTTTGTGCATGTGTATGCGTGAGCGGGTCTGGATGCGTGTACCCTGCGGCTGCGGCGGCCTCTCTTCTGCTGCTGCTGCTCGATGAGCTCCATGGCCGAGGCCGGGGGAGACGCCGCCCTCATGGCTCTCACCACCTTGATGCTGTCCTCCGGCAGCGGGGGCAAGCTGAGGCGCTCCCGGGCCCCCACCTTCATCTGCTGGAGCTCCTCGAAGCCCCCAACGTGAACTGGGAAGGGGGACATAAAAGCAGCGATTCTCAGATATTATTCATGAATCGATCTGAAGTTGACTGATCTTATCGTTGAACTAATGATTAATTCATAAGCAGCCAAACACAAGCTCAGTTTTCTCTTGTATCAAGGGGGTTAGACAATGGTGCATTCGGGCCGTTGTGGATAGAGAAAAAACGACAAAAAAAAAGTAAATTTCCACCAAAAATCTATAGTCACTTTGTGAGCTAGAAAAGTTGAACATTTTCTTAAAAAAAAAAAAACCTCAGGAATTTTTAGATTAATTTGAAAATTTTGAGTTTGAAAAGTCAATCATTTGTAGGAAAATATAACGATTTCACAAATTTTCTAGTTTGAGTCAAAAGTAGAAATTTTTGGATTTCTGAAACTTAGAAATTTCCAAGATAGTTTTTTTTTTTAAAGAAAATTAGAGATTAAAATGAAGTTTTCTCAGGTTTTTCCTGGCAACTTTTTGACTTTTCCAACTCAGCTGTTTGAAATACTAAAATTCAAGTTCTCTCACATTATTAAACTTAGACGTATTTATCAAACATAAAACAGAAACCTCTTTGGTTGCTGACGATAAAAAGAAAAGATGAATAGAATTAAATTCTCCTTAATCCCTCATCAACATTGAGATTTTAAGGACGGCAGACTTTACTGTGCGTCAACGAAAACAATGCAGTAGCAGACGCTGCACCGCAGCATGGTGCTGCCACTACTAGTTTTATTTCTGACAAAACATTTTAAAACCATTTGGCAATCACATGAGACACATTAAAGCTCGAAGAACATAGAAAAAAATGTAGCTTTATTCCACCAACCAGCACAGTTTTCCACAGCAGCAGCAGCACTTTCTTCATCGGGAAGTGAGGCGCATTCATGCTGCAGAACTTGGTCACCATAGTGAAGAGGAGCAGAGCGAAGGGCTCTCCGTTGTACAGAGGCGACCCTGAGGGTTGAACGAGGGTCTGCGGTTAGAAACGGCGAGTCGGGACAATGGCTGTGCAAACGCACTGCGTGCACACGCACCGAGCTCGTTCTTGAAGGTCTCTCTGGCTGCCCTCCACTCGGGTCGGTCATCCTCTGTTTGGACACGAATGGTCTCCACCATCAGGTACATGATGCTCAGGAGCACTCTGAGATTTTGAGCACATGATGCAGTTAGACGAATCGGGCGAAGGGTGGTTTTGTCCTGGAAGCTGCAGGTGATGCTGTACACCAAATGCTTCTGTTTTAGTACGAGATCAAATCCTCAGGAGCCTCTTTAGATACAATATTCGGATGAAGCTTTCGTACCTCTTGAACGTTTTCATGTCTCGCATTGGAGTGCATAATTATGAAGTGGGAGGAATGTTAGAGATGGACTGAAAGTGGAAATCCAAAAATAAACACTTCCACAGTGAAGCATGGAGGTGGCAGCATCATGATGTGGGAACTTTTTCTTTTTTTCCCCCCCCCACCAGTAGGGACAGAACAATAATCTCGGTTTCAGGCTTTTCAAGACAGTTTCACCAACATTATGGTGGAACTTTAAAACCAAATTAAATCTTTAAAAAAAAAGCATAAATTACTATTTTAATCATTTGTTTGAAGCTTAATTAATAGCTTAAGTAAATATAACTATGTCAACTCCATTCACATGGTTTGGCGTGTAACTTCCATGTGTTCCTACAGGGTACATTTTTGTTCATAACAATCATAGGTTACATGTTTTAGTCATCTATTAAAACCGCTGATTTCAAGCCATTCCTCCTTGAACATAGACTCTCCCATGATGAAGGACCTGCCAGTGGAAAATCTGTCAAGATTGCTTGGATTTAATTTCCCTTCACACAAAGAAAAACGGTTTCAGAAGCACATTTCAGCAGACTCACAGCTTACTGTTTGCTCCTTGTGATGTGTTGCAAAACCACAACCAAATACCACCAGTGTAATTATCAAAATAAGCAACGACTGAAGCGCAATGTATGATTTCCTAACTATATTTGAGTAAAATCTAATTTAAAACCTAGTTTAGGAAGTCACGGTCTGGCTAGCTTTCAAGCTACATTCCAGAAATATCTTAAAATCTACAAAAAAACTTGATGCTCAGGCAAAGGTTCACTTTTCAGCAGGACAAAGTCCTCAAACAGCCAAACTCTAATGTTAACGCATAATCTTCAATATTTAGAATTTAGACCTAGATATAGATAAATTAATTTAAAAATCACTGGAAAGACTTGAAATTGACAATTCACAAGTGCTCTCTGTCCTAACTCATTTTGACTCATTTTGAGCAGTTCTGCTTACACGGTGTACAAATGTCACACTCTAAATGTGAAAAGCTGGCAGATTAGATACTCCACTTGCATCACTCTATTTTATTTGGTGATTATTTAATTCAGTTGCTTTGCTTGTACAGTGTCACACACTACTGACAATTATATGCAGCGAGTACTTCTAATTCAAGAGTTTTCAGTGTAAATCTGCTTGTCCAGCTGGTAATTATCTGTGCACATTATCCAGAAAGAGCACAGAAGGAGCTCTGAGTGTGTCATCTGAGCAAACTGTGTGATTGTGGCGTTCGGCCCTCTTTGTTCAAGCAGCATTTCCACCAAAAGAAGCTTAGAAATTAAAACGAACAAACAGTACAGAGTCAGTTTCTTCTAGTAATTAGTCGTGTTTGCTGCGATTCGTGCGTTCGAATGACTTACCTGAGCTCGGTGCTGTCTGCTAGAGAGATGGCAGGCTTCCTCACTGCACTGCTGCACGCCTGGCTGTTACTGCAGAAAGAATTATTGCTTTATTTTCTTTGGCAAAATCGCAAAAAAGTCTGAAAATCCTTGCAAAGGAATACAATATAACTTGCAGCAAACAAGTAATAATCACATTATGAGCGAGAAGTCTTATCAAGAGTGTTTTGTTTTTATTTCCCAACATAATCTATCACTATTCTACATGTACTTGTCTCACTTGTACAGATTTGTACTTTGTGTATGCCTTGGTGAAGCTTATATAACTGCATTCCCAAGAAGGAATGCAGTTATAAATGCAGTTGTAAATGTGTGGCACTAACCACACATTTACAAAATAATCTAAGAGGGGTGAAGTACCCGTTAAAGTATCCATATGCGAATTGCAATTTTCTCTTGGTCTTTAGTGAAGGGATCCGTTTAATGCTTACTCTATCTCCATGCTGAGCAGCTCCAGCAGCGCTGTGAAGATGCCCATGTCGTAGAGCAGGAAGATGTTGTGTCTGGACCAGTGGAGCACATCCACCTCTGTGTCACACTCATCAAACACACCTGGCAAAAGAAGTGGGAAGGGGGGAATAAAACGCCGAACAACTGGTTGTCAGTAGTTTAGCGAGTGCAGAGTTCCAATTAAAGGTCTGAAAGTGAAAAGAAATTAAAGGCAGAAGTGATCCAATGATGGAGTAACACCATCACATCTGTGCATACACAGTTCTGGAAAAATGAGGATCCCACTGCATAGAAAACCTCGTGGTTATTACACCAAATATTGATTTCTGAACTCTTCCTGAGTTGAAACATTAGTATTGATGTTTCTAAATTGATACTAACTTGTTTTCTCCGCATTATTTGACGTCTGAATAATGCATCTTTTTCATTATTTTGACCCTTTCTCATTTTCTGCAAATAAATATAACATTTTTGCTTGGAATTTCAGAGACATGTCAGTAGATCGTAGAATAAAACAACGTTCAGTTTACTCACACATATACCTAGAAAACGTAAAATGCAAGAAACTGATATTTTTAAACGGTCTCTTAATTTTTTTCCAGAGCTGAATGTGCGGAGGCTGTTGGTTATGGATTGGGAGCACAAACCCTGAGCCAGGTAGAGGATGGCCCTGGCCACCTTCAGCCTCTTGTCCCTGTCCGTCACCTCCAGCGCGTCCAGCAGTCTCATGACGTACGTCCTCTGCTCGTCCACCGTCAGCACCGTCCACCTTCTGCCTTGAGCTGCAACAGACAGTTTGCTTCTATTTTTGCATTTTTTTTCCACATCCCCCCCAACACATTTTTCTTTCTGATTTCATAATGAGATGATAACAGCAGTTATGTAATAACTTTGTTTAGCAAGTACGGATGTGAATGGGGAGGCCAACTCCTGCTTCAGTCTTAGTGGCATATTGAGTGCTATCCCTTTGCATTAGCTGCAGGAAGTATCTGAAAGCACAGAAAGCCCTAATTAACAGGAACTGATGATGTCATTATGAGAAATTAGAAAAGATTATTAAGACCCAGCAGGAAATGAGGCACACACAATAAGTACACTTCTACAGAAGGAAAACAAAGCAAAATGCTTTTCCTGTTTTTGCTCTGATCCATTATTAGACTGTTTATTTGATCAATTTTTATAGACACTAAGCATCATCATCATCGGGGAAGAACTGATAGCCAATAAAGGATGCTGAGACTTACTGTGTGTGCTCTCGGAAAATGAAAATAAGATTTTTAATTTCATCCCTGTCTCAAAAAAAAAAAAGACTGCAAAAGGCCTCAGTCAGACATGTCTCCTCTATTACAGTAATTTACGTTCGTGACTTCCTGAGAATTCATGGGGCAGCAACATAAAAGATTGATGAGCAGCCTGTCAGTTTCACATGCACTGCAGAGCCCAAGTCAAGCAGGGAAACCAGCCTCTGTCGATTGGTTGCACACACAAAGCACTCGTCCTAATGAAAAGACCACGGTGCAAACAGGCGGCCCTGAGCTGCATCTCTGTGACGCAGCAGCCAGAGAGGTCCTCATCTAATCCTGCAATTTATTACCTGTCAATCCAGAGGCGAGGTGACAGAGCAGCACTTCTGATTTAAAAGAAAATAGTACATGCTTTGTGTCTGTGTTTTTTTTGTTTGTTTGTTTTTGGTGGTTTTTAACAGTGAAACCCTCTGGCTCGCTAAAATGAAATGTCGACAAATAACAGGGGAGGAAGAAGCAGAAAAGGTTTGATCTAGAAATGAAAAATACGATTTAAACAAGCAGAGCTTTGTTGTGCCTGTTCCCCACTCTGTTCTCATTTTCCAATAAAAACTGTTTCTAATATTCCAAAGACACCAACCCTCAGAAATGACTTTGTTATCCTGGCCTTTGACCACAAAGGTTGTTTCCACTTAATTAGTGGATTAATATTGCTTGGTTTATTCTCTCTCTCCTCTAATAACATTTTGGTTTATGCTGCCATGTATGCTGCTGAAATTTCAGTTGAGTTAATCTTCAGGTTTTAATTTCAGAGCACTGTAAGATACCAGCAGTAAAATGAAATGCTTCTGGTCCCCGGCTATGTCTAAACTTGTTACACATTCAGGTCTGGAACAAGCTTTGGCGCAAAAAGCAGCCAGTCCATATTTTAAATCTGCAAACAGATGGTAGAATTCAATGGGAATCTGTCAAGTGAAAAAGCTCTGGGATTGGGCGCACCACAGACAATAACTAACAATCCTTAGATGCCTGTTTTGTTTTGTTTTTGGGTGATTTCTGAACAATTTTGAAGCTTCTGTTTTCTCCCAGTCGCTTTATCTGCTGGTGATTCAGTTTTATTGAATCACCAGATAAGCAGTATTTTTCCCCCCTCTCTTTCCAAACTGGTTATAAAACAGCAACTAAATTCAGTTTAGGTGTCCAATTCTGATCTGTGTTCCAAAATAAATTCAGTACATTTCCATTTAATTCAAGTCAGACACATTGACACTGAGAGAAACACTACCATGGCTCCTGAAGTCCTCCTCGAAGTAGTCTCTGTTCAGGGCGAACTCTGGCTCTTCTGTGTAACTGTACAGCTCTGCAGAAAACATGAAACAAAAATGTTACAACTTCCCTGTCAAAAACTTAGAGTTTTTGTGTCTCCCTGTATGTTTCAAAGAAAAATTACAAAGTACTTCAGTTGAAGACCAGGTTTAAATTCATGCTTGGAAATAAAAACTATTGTTAAATATGTTCACTATCCAAAGAAAAGTGAACCAAATATTCTCCACAACAAATTTAAAAACTATTTTATTTTTTAAATGAGTTTTGTTTAATTTATGCTGATTATATCCATCTGTTCTGAAAGCGTGACAAAACAGAAGAAATGCGTAGCCCTGGAGAGTGGGATCATTTTTCACCTCAGTGCTGTCAGGTTGGTGACTACAACCCCCTTCTGTCTGTACTTAGAAAACTCAAAGTTGGTTTCATAAAGTGTCAGGCAGGTGTTTAAAACGAAGCCTCTCACCAGAGCATAATTTTGACTCTCCAGGTCCCCTTCCTGTCAACAATCATTGTAATCCTTTAAGCTTTACTGCAAACTGAAGACGCCGGGCTTCGATTCTCTAGTGAAACTGACCTAAAATGTGCCGGTGAACGAGGCGAAGCATGTCAACTCCTCAAAAGAGGCTAATTAGACCAGGCTCTGAATCAAAAGAGGATAACTGGTTCTGGCGAGACTTGCGGAGGGAAAGACCTCAGTTTCTTTCTAAATTGATGTGGGTCGCGGCGTTTTCATGGGCAGCCATCCATTTGTCACACTGCTCCACGTCTCCTTCTGCTCTCAGAGCCCTCGTCATCGTCTGACCTCGAGGAGATGAGCTGTTGTGACTGACTGCGTGCTCACCAGGGTGAGTAAGGCTCTGGCAAATTGAAACTGGTAAACATCATGACTCAAAATTAAATACATGCAAAACACAAATTGGTGCTGGATGGAAGCCTAAAATTACTCACTCAAACTTAACTCAAGGTCAACCAAAAATTTCGGATATGGTTGGATTTGCTATGTTGGCACCCCTCATGCCAATATAGCAACGGTTGGGGCGCTGCACCACGAGCCACTGAAGGAAACAACACGAAAACCTCTGAGCACAACTTCTCACCAAACTCCTTTAAGGCTTTTGTACACATTTTTACCAGGGGTTCCAATGATATGGAAGGGTGACAATGCAATGCAAAAAGGTCAGCATGCAGCAGATGAAGGGACTTCAGTAACCTTTGACTCCTACCTGAGAGCTCCGCTGTGAGCATGTCCGAGTCTCCATATTCAAACTCCAGGTTTGGAGACTCCATGGAGCTCTGAGGGAAAAAAACAACCCAATCAACCCATCATGACTCATTCTGAATTTTCATTCATCCTAATAACTTAAACCCAGGTATAGAATAGGCATGATCCAGCTGACGGCGTCATTGCACACCAAGGTTTTCCATTGTCCGGAGATTATTCTGCACCATTTGTCTTACCTTTTTGTTTCACCCACAAACAACACATAAACACACGCTCTCTTCTTTTGGTTTACTCTGTCTCCTCATTTGGATTTTCAGGTTATTAATATTGCCTGTTCCGGCTTCAGGCCGTGCTGATTAGCCATTGGCATATTTTGCCTCAGATCCTTGCCCCACAGTTTACAGGTGCTCTCTGTGGGGCATGTGCGGCTCCTGAATTAATCAGCCTGTAATTGAGCGGTTACAAGAGCCTCAAAGTGGTCTGGTGTTGCAACAAAGAGCAGCGGCAATGCAGCAGTGAGAGGGGAGACGAGAGGAGAGGATGGAAGGCCACACAAGCAAATATGGCCGCCTCAAGTTCACAGAGGATTAGCTGCTGTGGTCAGGAAGAGAGGGTTAGGGGGTCTCTGTTGACCCCACCATGTGATCAGCACATGGGATAGAAAATGCTCAGCAGCTCAACGCAACTGCAACAGATATATTACGAAAGTGTTTGCATTAAAATATGAAAAAAAATTACCGTCAGGACAAGGAAGAAAGGGTTTCAAGAAGTTTAAAAGTTGGCTTCGAGGTAACAAGATCCAAACTTGACGGGTTTCTTTGCACAATCAGGCAAGTGTGTGACAAGGAAGCAATTTGCAGGAAAACGGGTTGTGCAAGACACATCAAGACATGAAAGTGGAAGACAACACTGGAACGTAAACAGGAACCAATCAGAATAAGAGTGCTCTAAACGTTTTACATTGTGGACCAATACATCAAACAAACAAACAAAAAAAAAACAAATAAGGAAAGCAGCCTGACCACCAGATTAATAAAAGTCTAATTTTATGCAGACGAGGATTAAATACAATTCTGACATCACCTGAAGCTCTGAGCTCAGAGTGTTAGCTACGTTTAACCCTATGACAACAATCCCTGAGGGGCTCAGCCCAGATCCGTAAATAAGGACGTGCTGTCTGACTCAGCCGCCCCGATTAAATAACCGTCTGCTGTCGTTCATTAACAGTCTCCTATAAATACACGCAGACAGTCAGCATCGTGTAGGACAGGCTAAATAACACCATTGCATACCATTACTGCTCTTTAAAAAGACCCACGTAAAAATACAGTAGTCAGACTGTTCAGGATTTGGTTCAGTGGAGGAATAAGAGTAAGAATCCAACTCTGCTCCACCACTTTCACCCTGACGTGTCTGCTGTGTGTGTTGGACTTCATGAAGCGGTTTGTTCTCTAATGCCTTCATTAAACAGCTGGATTTATTCACAGATTAAATTACACATAGCTGGAGTCTAATTGAGAATTAAGCGGCTCCTGAAGGCAAAGTGTTGCACTGAAATTTAATCAAAGGTATCAGACTAAAGGGGCCTGAATACAAATGCTCACTACATGCTCCAAACCTGATCTGTTTAACACACTGATAGACTTAACTACAGCAGGCAGGTTAAAATCTTTTCCCTTTAAGTTTCTGAACGAGACGTGGTCCATAACGGACATGTTTATTCGCCATCCTAAAAGTGAGAGCTTGCATTCGCATCAAGTCCATTTTGTCTTTTTTTTTTTTGTCCTACCTTCTTCATCCGGTCTTTTTACTTGCCACAGAGATAACAGATGACCACTGGAACCGGCAGAAGCAACCAACTTCCACACAGGCTTCATACGCAGAGCATCTAAACACAGCTTTGACAATAAAAGCTTTCAACGCTCGAGCCACGGAGCCACCGACACCATCAACCAACCCCCTCCTCGGCCCTGCCCATCCCACAATCCAACGGCTGTGAGACAAATTTGCTCTAATTCTCTCAAAACACCCCCTCCGCTGCTTTCAAAGCATGAGCTGAATGACATCTCTGACTGACAACCAGAATCTCGAATGTACCACATCTGGACTCGGCAAGCCTAGCAACACAGCTCCGCCGTCTTGTTATTTTTGCATGAGGAGAACGATTAATAGACATGAACTCAGCTGTGCTGGCTTGATGAGGACTGAGAAAGTGAAGGTCTTCCGGGTTAAAACACAAGAAAAGTAGCAATACGATGGACAAGTGAAGCCAATTCTTTTATCTTAACAAATTACTTAAAGTTACAAGTTAGACTCTTTGAAATCAACCAAACTGCCTTAAGACATGAATGGACACTTGCAGAATAACATGGCATTGAGTTTTTCTATCTGTTCTGCCATTATATGTATGTATGTATATATATATATATATATATGTTTTTCTCATTTGTAAATATTGTAAAACAATACAAAAAAAAGAATAAAAAGTTTAAATAAAAAAACCCAAAAAACTTTGAAATAAAATAACATATACAAGTAGTTTGCAAACAAGATATAAAACTTAAAAGCTCATGTTTTGGACATTTAATTTTTTTGTGTATGAAACTGTTGCTCAAATTTGAGATCAATTGCCTTGATTCCTGTGCCTCTTGTGATGTCACAGACCCAAATACAGAGAAAGCAGATTTAGCAGGGGGGGTTTTTTGTTGTTGTTTTTTACTCAAAGTGTTTTTAAAAACTTATTTTGTGAAATCTTGCTGTAGAAATCCACAGTATTGGGTTTTTATTCTCAGTGAAGACTGTTTATATATATAAGACATTAGCTTTAAGCCAGACATTTCAATTATTATTCACATTACACATGATCTAATTCTTTTCAACAATTGGATGGTCCAGATATCAGTAAAAACTATAACACTGGTGATGTTTAGAGAGCGTAAAGCAGGCCAGTGTTTTGTTGTTGATGCGTGTCTGGTGCTGAGTGGTCCTGGCAGCAGCAGTCACATTTCACCACCTGCATGCAGCACCACTGCAGGATTACCGGGTTATTTTTAGGACTCAGCTGCCAAAATAACACATCCCCGTCTGCCTGCATGCCTGCACGCTTTTCGAGCCAAGACACCGCATGGAAGAAGGACATTCAGCTGATCTGAAAGCTCCCCAGCAACAACATACACACACACATACACGCACCTGCTGCAAGCTGTGACAGCCCCAATGTACACACACCGCCTCTCGCATTTACCTCCGACTCTTTCTGCTGATCCTTGAACACATCTTTCCCTTTCGGCCTCTGTCTGTCGCCGTTATCGTTAAGGTTATTAATGACAGGTACCTCCATGTCCTCCGCCTGCATCTTTGCTCGCTGCGGCGCGGATCACTCTCTCCGCGGCGGGTCGAGCATGCCCGGTCCGGCGGAGAGCCGAGACTGCACCGCACCAGGAGGAGCTGCTCCACTCCGGGGGAACCAAGTTGAGGGTGTCCTCCTATTCTTTCTATCTGTTTCTCTCGCTGCGGATTCTGTTGCCCCCCTTTCACAAATCTGCTTGATTCGCTGTCCCCGCGTGTCCCGAGAGGGCGGGGTTACACTCAGACAGCAGAGAGAGCGGCGTGAGTTGACCCCCTCCCGTTAATGTCAGTGTGCCAGTGAGAAGGGAAATGGCTCGCAGCTATTTCCAGAGCCCTGAGAAAACTCTGAAAATCGTTTGAACTTTTTCCTCGTTCATATATTCTGTGGATTCTACAACTACAAGCCTTTCTGGTATATTCATGAGCAAGTTTGTTTTTTTTTTAAATACAAGATCAGAAAATTCAATATAATACCATGCCAGCCAGGCTGCCAGAAAAGAAAGGAAGTGAAAATATTTTTGAAATAAAAGACGTGTCGGATCAAAGTCTAATTTCAGAGAGATGCACAGAAACGACATTCAGAAATCGGCCTTTTGTGAAATTGTTTACATTTGTTCTGTTTTTACAAATTACTGATTGTTGTTATTGTTGTTACATTTTTTTATTTTGTGACAAAATCATTTATCTTTAAACATTCAGTGACTGACATGTTTTAGAAAATTTAGACAATGATTTATTTTTTTCCACAGTAGTTAGAGCTATAGCCTATTAAACATTTAACTGGTTTTCACTTCTTTTTTTCCTGGCTAAATGCAGTGCCTCGATGAGTGATAGTATAACACAGCTGAAGTCTCATAATTTACCAGGATATTCAAACCTCAGACTTGGACTCGTCCTTTAAACGCTCCACCGACGGGAAGGTGTTGGTGGGAAAACCTCTCTGTGACCTCTTGACCCCCACCATCAACCTGTCCACAGCAGAGAAGTGAATTATTGATAGGAGGAGGTGGGGACTGTTTGGTTGGCTGCAACCAGCAGCGCCCACACTGTGAAAATCACCTAAGCTGACGTGGGTGTACAATTAACCATATGTAGAGAACACATGGCAATAACAGGACGAGGCTCACAGATTTTATATCATAGTTACGCGCTGTGAGAACCTGCATTTATTATTTTTGTCTTATTGATCAAACTAAAATACGTAAATGTAGTATTGTTCAATAAATATTGTAAGTAATTTTATTTAGTGACATTGCTCAACTAAGTTTCTCTTTTTTTTGTTTTAAGTAAACCTGCAACTTCATGTTTTATATTCGCCAACCAGCCTTGAATTAATGTTTTTTTTTCTTTTTTTAAGGAAAACATGACACCTTTCTTTATGATTTTTGTCATCAGAAAATTCAGCCAAGCTGCTGCTGCATTTTCAGTGACTCAAACTTGTGCAGTTCTACTCACATTCACAGCCCTCTTGCATTTCTACGATAATATTCTCCTACCTTATTCTGTGGGTTCGTCTCCTGGTCAGGTTCTGTTTTATTCTTCTGAATAAATGAGTGTCTTTTTAACCACTTTTTGGTTTCACAATTTAAATGTGTATGTTTGAGCCACATTGCAAAAACATAAGGTCTTATCAAGTATTTTTGGAATACTTTCTTGTGCTAATGTGTCTGTACACTAAGATAAAACTAACTTACATGCAACTTTTCATCAAGATATGAGCTTGTTCAAAGTCAATAATTCTTTAGTATTGTTAAAAAATAGTAGTTATATTGGCATATTAATTTAACTTATAACTGGACATCTTTCCCTTGCTTTAAGTGAAATAATCTGCCAATGTAATGAGTCCTTGTTCATCAATATTAAGAAAAATAATGACAAAACTCATTTGGATTAAAAACAAAATCAAATTCTAAAGAAGCTCAGAGGGTCCAAAAGATGTGTTTGAAAAGGGTGTTGGGAGATACTGGTCATTTCTACAAGAACATTTTCAGAAGTAGAATTTTTATTGTTCTTTCCCTTTTCAGAATGTATATTTGATTATGTCATGTCTTTAAACACCTTAACATTTTATAATTCAATTTGTAAGGTCACCTACTCATGTCAATTCTGAGTTTTATTTGTAGTAATTGTATCTTTAGATCAATGCTTTTGATCAAATATTCTTGATGTTTGTCACTCAACCAGCTGGAGGGTCCATCAATTTTCCTATTAACTTCTCTGTCCTCGCTGAAGAAAGACATTCCCACAGGATGATGCCGCCTCCACCATTTAAATCTGGGATTGACAGCAGCTTATTAAAGCACCTCGTCACAATCACATTTAAATAGTACCTCGTTTGTAGTAAACAAACAAGGTTTGCTCCATCAGAAAGTTCGCAATGAGAAATACTTTTGCAATATTCTGAACGGATCACGACAACAATTCCTTGACCTTTGAAAGAGCTCAACGATCAAACTGAATACTGAAATAAGTGCCAACGCTACTGAAGTATAAGTGACAGGTTCATTTCATGGCTGGGGCCAGATTGTTTTAATGGAAGTGAACAGCCTGAGACCACTCAGAGGAGGGAAAAGAAATGATCAAAAAGCAGTCAAAGCGTCTTTAGGACAAAAAAACGAAACAAAAAAAACCCCCTTCAAATTCTGCGTCAGCTCTGGAGATGTCAGAGACGGCGCCGTCTGACCGCCGCTGGCTCGGATGAGCTCACTGAGGCAGCAGCACACATGGATCCCCTCCACCCCGGCAAACCAATACAGCCTGACCGGACAAATTAACCACAAAACATTCCACTTTTTACAGTTTTATTCATTAATATTACAGATTATTGCTCATCTTCTAACATGATCGCTTCAGATTTTTTGTGTTTGTTTTCGACAACTTAAAGCATGACTGAGAATTTCGCCAGTTTGTACTGTCTGAGGATTTACATTAATAAATACAGGAGACTTCTTTACACCTTCCTATACACCTCCATTTTTTTTTTATGCGTGTCAAATCTGTAGTCTGTATACACATGAACAATGCTGGTGTCTTCCCTCATCCAGTTAACCGTATATTAAAACAGTTCTCCTCCCTAAACCCGCAGGTCAGGATCCTGAGGCAGCTGTTAAAAAGGAACTACGGCCTGCGAGACAGAAATAAAAACATAAGATATGGAAAAACAGGCACACACACACACATACACTCACCATTCATTAGCACACATTGACAGAATTAAAGGAGGGGAAAATAGGCCTTAAGACAACGGGTCACACAATCCTGTGTGGAGATTCGACAGCACAAGGAGACAAGGACGCACAGACACCGACTGTGACACAGAGCGGAGGAGCTTTGCTTTAAGGTGGATTCATAGATTCTTATATTACACACTTGTTTTGGGCCACTTTTGACATTAATGTTTTGAATGAAAGTCAAGAGATAATTGTAGATAAATTGGAAGAGTTAAAAAAAAAAATTTTTCAGTGTAGTGGCCCTGGTTTGGGTTTACATCTGGTTAAGCATTGAGGACTGTGTAGAGATGTTAATAGTGATTGCATCTTATTACACAATAAGAAAAAAAAAAAAAAAAAAAACGTCCTTCAACAGTGGATGGAAAGTCATCGCAAAATCTGATCTCTAAACATGAAGATGAATGTGCTTCTGTGATTAGGATAAAAACAATCGTCAGTCAGAAAGTTGGCGAGTGATTGACACGTTTCAGTACCCTTAACCTGTTGATGTTGTGTATGGCAAGAACAAAACAAAATAAAATAAGATAAAATAAAGCACCATACTTTTTTTGGAGTACCTGCAACAAACTGCTTCATGCTATGTAAATATTCTGTCACAGTATTCGGAATGAGGGTTTGAGCACATTTATTACAGATGATTGGAACATTTAGTTGCTTCTCTGTGCGACGCGACGATTCGGTCAAAAATGAAATATCAGATGGAAAGATAGAAAAATCTTAAATTCTATATAAATATCTAAATATACAGTATACCTTTGTAATGATTTGACAATCTGTCATGCTTCTACTACAGTATAGTCTTTCTTTTTAAAGAAAAGGGGGGAAAAAAACGAGAAAATGATTAAATACTTGTTGTGACTTCAACACTGGTGTTTTGAGCAGCTGGAGACCAAAAGAGCAGCCAATGAGGTGGTTTCACTGTGGGGTTAAGAGACAGGTGAGGAGAGCAAGACAACATCCAGTTATGTTCATAGAAATAAACAAACAAAAAAAAACCCATTAAAATACACGATATGATTGGACCCCTGAGGCCCTCACACAAGATCTGCAACCCACCCTATTTTTGTTGTTTTCTTGGAAAAAAAAGAAAGAACTGAAAATCAAAAGGTAGAAAACAAAAGAACATGAGGGAGGGGGAAAAAACAGCAAAAAAAGGGAAAACTGTCCCTGACTAAATCTTCATTTGCACACCTTTAAAAAAAAAACAAAACAAAAAAAAAACAATCAAAGTTTTGCTTACAGAGTCTGTGTTTCATCTTTCTAAGAGATAAAGAATCAAAATTCTGGCAGCGTGGAGGGAGGAAGGAGGAGTAATGGACAACTCGACGCATCTAAAGAGAGACGAGGGAGAAAGTGAAACGACTCTTGTTCGACGAGGAGCGAGTGATTTTTTTTTTTATTAACACAATTATTACTGTGGGCGGGTGGGAATGAAACAAAGAAGGAAACAGGAAAAGTCGGGGCTTCTCCTTTGCTCCACATGTAAAGGAGGTGTTTTGACTATGCCGTCTGTCCTTCCTTCCCCCCTGTCCTCCTCTTCTCCTGCTGAGTCTGTGCCATTTATGGAACTGATATTTCCTCATTCAACTCAATGGTTTAACCTGGAAAACAAAAGAAAAGAAACAATGGAAAGCTCTAATCAGAAAGAGAACAGAAGGAAGAGAATTCAGTAACCAACTAAAAACCACTAACTTTCATGTATTAAATGCAAAAAAAGCTGCAGCAAATGTGGAGTGGAAGTGGCCATTTTGGAGCAGCTTACCTATAGTAGTTTTGGCTTAAAGGGCCCGTTCTTGTTCAAGCCCAGGTACTTGGCCTGCTCATCACTCAACTCTGTGAGATGCGCGTCAAACGTCGGGAGATGTAGGCTGGCCACATACTCATCTGGACAGCAGGAGAAAAAAAAAATATAGAGAGAGTAAACATCTTGGCATTTTCCAGGATCTCTGACCTGAAAAATTACAATTTACAAGAAGGAAAAAGAGGAAATCCAGGGTAACTACTGTCTTCTTTTTCTCATACGAGCCCTTTTTCATTCACTGACAGCGTGACCTACATCTGCCTCTCTTTACCAGGCTTCTCTCTCAGTCATGCATGCATGCATGATCCGTCTTTAATAGCATCAAACTGAAGACATTTTTACCCATTTTCTTGGGCAGCAGATAAACATCCTGCTTGTACCGTCCCTCGGGGGCGTTGTAGAGCTCTATCAGGGCCAGAGCCTGCAGGGAAATGAATGACATCAACACGTTTGAGCAGACTTCTCAGTTCGTCACAGACACACACACACAAAAAAAACTAAAATAGATGTAAATGTAGAAAAAAAAAAAAAAAGAGAGAAACAAAATGAGTTAAAACAACAGAAATGTACCTGGGTCGTGGCGGTGATGGAGAGCACAAACGTGGGCACAGTGGAGCAGCTGAGGTTCAGCAGACGGCCCTGGAGAGAAAATGAAAAACAACACTCAAACAAAACAAAACCCGTTAAAAACACACTTCTGCTAACTTGGTGTTGCTCAAGCTTTCACAAAGACAAAACAGAGTAAAAGCCTTTTTTTTTTTTTTTTTTTTACATATCAGGGTTTCCTCTACTAAAACTGCTTACAGTTCACTGTCGAGGCAAAATAACAGCCACCACACCTTCAGAATGAAGACGTTTTATAAAACATGCTAAAACTATTAAAGCATCCGAGATGTCTACCTACATATATGTTTTGTATTTTCAATGTTGTAAGCTCAATGTTTTTTTATTGTGACACATTTCCCTCAACTTCTGAGGAATGCAGAAATAATAAGTGTTCTGTACTGTGACTCTTCCTAATGTCCCTTGAGTGACGTTGGGGAATGAAACGAATTAGTCACGTACACAGGTTGGAGTTTTGTTTAAAAAAAAAAAAGGTCTTAGAGGAAAGCCTGCAAATCATAAAGAAATATGAAACAAAACGAGCTTTTAGTTCCAGGTTCACTGATGTGGTTTCAACCTGCTTCAGATCAAACGGGCTCAGAGTCGTCGGCTCCGAGGAGCTGGCAGCGCGGCCGGCCCTGCTGAGCTGCTCTCATTCTGTCATGGCTCATGATTCGCTCACAAATCTTATCCAGGCAACACATGCTGCCCTGATATATATTTCAGACTAACTTTATATATTTGGATGCAACCACATTGGTTTTCTGTATCTCTAACTGTTCTCTGACTAACATTAGTCGGCTCAATCTGCGATCCAGTTCACAACAGTAAGTCAGGCCGACAGGATTTGTTTGGACGTTTTTAGGCGGAGAGTAAAGCACCTCTGCCAGCAGGACTATCCTCTTGGCGTCCGGCCAGATGATGTGGTCCACCTGTGAGCGAACCCTCTCCCAGGTTAGTTCAGGGGTCCGCAGGCTGGCCTGCAGAACAAAAACAATTCAAGGCCATTTTAGCCTCTACATGTGGAAGATCATCTTTTCCCCAGCCACCATGATGAATCATATGATTAAGAACACTTAGTCCTTGTGCTCCTACTTGACTTAAAAGCCCCAAAATTAAAACACATTTCCAAATTTCTTACAAAATCCTGCAACATAAACAGTAAGATCAGCAGGCATTGTTAAAGGCGTCTGATGTCATTACAGAGTTGCCGACTGACCACATCGATCTCGGTGTTGGAATGCCCCATGTTGCAGACAATGCAGCCGTTCTTCATGCGGTCCAGGTGCTCTCTCACCACAACGTTCTTATTACCTAACGAAGAAGAAAAGAAGAGTGGACGAGTGATTCAATCTGAGACAAGAGCACATTAAAAAAAAAAAAAATCATATGAGGTCAGGATGAGACAACCGAGTCTGCCTCCATCACTTCTAACTTAATTACTTATCTTAGAATGTGAGAAAAGCTAATTAGGTCTGGAAATAGAATTTAATTAGAGTTGACTCAACATGTCGAAACAATACGAAGGTTTAAAGAATTTTGTTTTCGATTAAAACTATGAGAAAACATTCTTTATGAAATATTTTAGCAGCTGCCCATTACTTAGAAAACCTACAAACACAAAGAAAGAGGGGTCAAAGTTCAAATGGTGTTTTTTTTTTTTGTTGGTGTACTATATGGAAATGGACCTAAATGCATTGAATCATATGAAAAAGAACTGTGAAGGTATGTTTTTTTTTTTTTGTAAGTTTAGGTTTTTCAAGGCTGACTTGTTCTTGTGCAACTCGCTACGATTGCAGAGCCTACGCTTCAACCCTGACGGGCGGCATTTGGTAACAAACTGGTGGCCAGTAATTCTCTGCTCTAATCCAAAGGTCAGCGTCAGCTCCCTCGCCCTCGAGGTTCAGAACTTTATTAGCGACCTCTGCGGATGATTTCGCCGACTCAGTGACCCGTCTAGTCACCTTGAACAAGACGCAACAAAAACCGTGAACGTCTGCACCGTGACTGGATCAGCAGAATGTCAAGACCAGCGGTCCAGGGTGAAAGCAGCAAGCCAACCTGTGCAGGTGATGACGATGTCCACTTGTCTGATGACTTCGTTAAGTTTCACCAGTCTGAAGCCATCCATGCTAAAAAAAAAAAGAAGAAAATCACTAATGATTAATTGATAATAAATCACTAACGACTTAATAACCACAATTAGTCTATCAATTGAAACGACTCATTTAGGAATGGATTAATCGGTCATTCAATTATGGCCATGAAAGAATATATTCAGAGGAGAATCTAACAAAATTGTACCAGAAATATACAAGTTTTGCATTTAAGATAAAAAACCTTCTATGTCTGTGAATATAGTCAACCCAGAATTCAAAGGCACAGTTTTAGCTCCGTCTGCTTCAAATACTGTAAGACAATTAAGCTCCTCAGAAAGTGCCAATTTTTAAATGCGATTACTTGATTAATCGCTAGAATAATCGATTACTAAAATAATCGTTAGCTGCAGTAATAGTAAAAAGTGACTTTCCTGCAATATAAATGAGCCAAAATAAAGAAAAACTCAAGCTCACCAGGCCTGCAAGGCACAGATGGGGTCGATTTCTGTGACGTAGACGATGGAGCCCATGGCTTTCAGGGCAGCGCAGCAACCTTTCCCAACCTGAGGGAGGAGAAAATAGAAGGACTGGTCATTTTCAGTTCATGGAGGTGCATTCAGTGTGTTACAAAGAAACGCGGGCAGAAATGCACACAGCATTTCCAGATAGCAGACCAGAGCTGGAGCTGTGATCATTGCAGTCGCGGTCTACTGTGATGTAATAATAACACAGACACTGACACCTCAGATGATGATGCACTGATTTTTAACGAGAATTTGGCTGGGCATGTTTGATTACTGTGGATTTTCTCTCAGGCTAAGAATTTTTATAGAGTTGAAGTTTCTGTAGCTTCCAGTTTGGACAGACTGGAGTTGCTTGGTTTTCTCAATTTCCTTTCAATCAAAACCAACAGTTTGAGTCAGATGGTTAAAAATTGGACACAATTGGGCGTTCCAACATGTCTATAAACCAAAACACGCATCAAATGTGTCTCAGGTATGTATCAATCAGACTAATTTTTTGAACCGCCTTCCCAGAGCTCTGACTGCCACCTGTTGAACATTTCAGCACCATTCTTAAAGGTGAGGTTTGCTGGCAATTTAAATGAACTTTTTCTTAAAAAGTACTCAAACATCCTGCTGTTATTGGTGATTCTAGAGTGATTTTTCTCAATTTTAGCAGAACATCAGCAGGAACATGTGACTTAAACAAAACCATTGACTTTACCTCTCCGTATCCACACACCACCACCTGTTTGCCTCCAAACATCACATCGGTGGTCCTCTTCAAGCTGGAGACACAGATGCGTGTTTCAGTGCTGCTGCTTCTCTACCATTGGAAGCAATTTGTAAGGAAAGAAAACATGTTTTATACCCATCCAAGATGGATTCTCTGCAGCAATAAAGGTTGTCGAACTTTTGCTTGGTAACAGAGTCATTGACGTTCATGGCTGGAACACACAGCTTCCCCGCCTTGGATAGTTGGTACAACCTGCGTGCGCACACCACACACACACACACACACACACACACACACACACACACACACACACACACACATTTCTTATTAGATCTATTTGATGCCACAACTAAAAACAGAATCCAAACATAAAGCGTTTCAAATGTATTTTCTATTTTAAATCGTTTGCATCAAACTGTGAGCGCAGATAAAAATTGTGCCACTTTCCACCACTAGATGGCAATGCTGCCAAACTAGACAATGGATGCAAACAGGGTCTTATTCTGTTACTGTGCAGGTTTTTACAAATTTGAATCTTTAAAGATACAAAGAATCAGTTTAATCATCTTTCAACTAAAACGTATCTGTAATATTTAACATAAAGAAAAAAAAATTCATGCCAAACGAAGAGGACATATGGACGCTGCTTATCCTACCTGTGGACTCCAGTAACACTCTCCTCTACGATGCCCTTGATCTTCTTGAACATGTTGGGGTACTTTTTATAAATCCAGTGCGTCAGGTCTCCACCGTCATCCAGGATCTGGGGAGAAAAATGGGATTTAAAATAAAGAGGTTAGGAAGCAGTCTTATATGATTAGGTCTGCAACTAATGATTATTTTAGCAATCACTATTCTAATGACAATCTGGATAAAATTGAAAAAAATTGGCAAATTCAGCTGATTTTTCATTCGACTACTTAAGCCATTTTATACAGTAACATAAATACATTATAGATGAATAAACAGATAATTAAGTAACTTTTTAATTACAAAAATATACATTTCATTGTGTTACACATGCGTTGAAAACTACGTTAAAAAAAAGGGGAAAAACGACGGTTGCTACCATGTTGGGTTGCCAGCCTTCCACGTTGACGCAGCGGTCGATGCACCACCAGAAGTCATCCTCTGACTCACCCTTCCAGGCGAACACGCTGAAACCTGCAGAGTGGAAGGAAGCGAAGAGCGCAGAGTTGACAAAAACGTAACAAGAACGAGACGATAGAAAGATTCTGGACTGAAGGCTTTCAAACTGTTCTCACCTCCTTCTGCCAGAGCTGCAGCCACTTCATTCTGGGTGGAGTAGATGTTGCAGGCTGCCCACCTGCACTGAGCGCCCAGAGCTGACAGAGTCTCCATCAGCACCTGGGAAAAACAATAAACAAAGCTGCGTAGTTTGACTTTTTTTCCCAGACTAAAGATGTCGACACGTTGCGTTTTTGTCGTGTCACTCACACTCACGGTCTGTGCGGTGATGTGCGTGCAGCCCACCACCTTGGCACCAGCGAGGGGTTTCTCCCCCTGAGCACGCTTCCTCAGCGCCATCAGTGCCGGCATCTCTGGCAGAGAGGGAAACACACACAAAGCGGAAGCTGGAATTAGCTGGAAGGTGAAAGGAATTCCCATCTTTAATCTCATTAGCTGAGCTCTGATCCATCCAGTCGTCCAGATGAAGGAGTTGCAGATGCTGAAAGATGCTATCCGCGTTTTAGCCCTGCACCGATGTGATCGAACTCCTTCCGAGTGTGTTGGTTCTACCTTGCTCTGCGATCTCGATCTCTCTGCGCCCGAAGTCGGCCTGCTTGATGTTTTTGATGCAGAAGTCTCCGTTGCCTTTGGAGTTCTTCTGCTGTTTGTCCCGGGGTGAGGTCTCATCGTCGGAGCTGTCGGTGTACGACGCCGCTGCAAGCCACCGCAGGTGAAAACGTCAGTGAAGGGAAAGGACACACAGTGTTTATTTTCAGCAATGCTAAACCTGGTTTTGGAGAAAGGTTTCGCAGCACTGGCCTTTTTTCTTAATACCCTGTAATTCAAACTTGACCAGGCCAAGCTTTCTGGATGACCCAGTAAAAGTGACGATAAATCTGTCTCGCTTAGTTACCGAGCAACATCAGAGAGACGACGCGTCCGCCAGACTTCATGCTGCGGCTGCTTTTTCAGAGTTAAACTTTCACTCTGTGCTGTTTGTGCAGGATCATAATTATACCAATTGCTACTCTGTTGGCTTTTATCTTTTAAAGTATAGAGATATTTGCTCTGATTAGAGACAAAATGACAAAACAATCACCTTTTACCCATTAGATCTACAGAAAATAATAACCTAATTAATCTCATTTATTGCCAATAATGTTGCAACTTTTTGAAAAAGACAATTTATCATTTTAGATATAGGAAATGTGTTGTCATTTTTAAAGAACCACCATTTTATTTATATTTTCCCCAATTTAAAATCAAGATAAGTATAAAAATTAACAAAAAAAGAGGATGAATACACAGATTCTTATCTTTGCAAACCTTTTTAATCTGTGCTTTGTCATCCTACCACTGCAAATAAAATTCCAATTCAACACTCAAAGGTTTTGTCGCTAACATGACAAACTGTCTCACTAAAAGCGCAGAGCGGCAAAAATTGTTTTTAAAGCGCCTGTGATCCTGGGGAGTCCATGACTTCCCCTCCTCTAAGTGTGACTCAGCGTCCAAATGTCCATTTGGCAAAGCAGAGGACCACGGTGCAGATTAATTCATTACATTAATGGCTTCATTGGAGGCTCTGACTCCTGACACACAGCGGGGTATTAAAAAGCACAAGTCCGAGCACATTACGCAGGAAAGCATTTAATTGTTTACAAAAAACGAGGATGAGGGGAGAGGTCAAAAGGTTAAGAGCTGTGAGCATCAACAATGCGAACAGGGTTCTGATGTTAGCCATTCCTCAGACTTTGTGACCTCTCCGCTCTGTCGTCGTTCCAGGAAATCGGATAAATGAGTGTTTGTGTAAAGTGTGCCATCTGATTCTAAGTACCAATAAGAATAACAGTTTTCCCAGAAAGGACAGAGTAATTGCTCACAAAGCTGCTGATCCCATAAGTTATAGATTACAGAAAGTAGGTTGAATAGTTAATATTTTAACAGTTGTTTGTGCATCAATTTTCTAAGTCACCTCCTCTTTCACTAATTAACATTTCAACAACTAATCAATCTACAGCTCAATTCTGTAGCCTCTTCCGGCTATAGCATAAGATACAGGATTTTATTATTTTTTTTTGGGAGACCACCGGCAGCTAATCCGCTAACAGAGCCCACGGTTTCGTGAGAACCACAGGGTTAGACTGTGAGAGCGAGGACAGAGATGGTTGATGAGGAGACGGGGGGAGGGTTAGTCAAATATTCATCCAGGCGGAATCAGAAGGAAAAGTGTTGGAAAGTCAGGAATGTCTGATAAGCGGCGAGTTGCGGTGACTGAGTAACAGCCAGACTGTTTGTTTACCTGAGCTGTAGCTGTCAGTGGAGGACTGGGAGATGGAGCGGGACAGAGAGCGCCGGCCGATCTTAGACGGGCGCTTGCTGAACTCCTGCTTCTGGTCTGCAAACTGGATCTGAGGAGAAGACAAAGAGCAGGGATTCAGAACTGAAATGACACTTGGGACACATGTAAAGCTCAAGTGCTGTCATACGTTGGAGATTAAAAACATCAAAATCTTGAAAGTAGAGAACATCTTCGGTGGAACTATGTGGAATGAGTGCATGGTTACTCATTAGCAAACATGCAAAGGTTTAGAGTTCACAACACAACAGATCGCTCTAGTGGAATCTTTTGACTACAGGTGTTGTTTGTGAGCATAAACTTAGGTAAAAAAAGGCATAGTTTCACTATGGTTTCTAGTTTTGTTTTTTTTTTAATAAACCGGATTGCTTCTAAGGGCGGAGTTTGGGAACTTCTAATCTATGCCTTAGAATAATTTTCATTCAAAAGTTTTGTCTTGGTTGGCCACTGGTTTACGGAGGGGTTTTTTTTTCCCGCTCATGCATGTTTGGTAGAATACCATTTTCATTCAACTACTGTGAGCTACAAGCTTGAGCAAATTTGTGAAGGAAAAGTTATAAAACTCTAGAGACTTTTTTTTAAATCAATAAATGTCAGCTTTTAAAATAAAAAGTTACAAAATCAAAACAATAAAAGTCAACCAAAGATGACAGAACAGCAGCAACGTCGGTGCGTGTACAGAGAGCCGAGTTTTGAGTTTTCTCTCTCTTTGAAAGATAAAGCAAACAATAACTTTATTATCAAATCAAACAAGGCCACACAAGGTAGCACAGTCATACTACCTCTTTGAAATGAGGCCATGCTCTGCAGCCAGATCACTAAGCCGAGCATGATCCTATCACTTTCTTTCCACTCTTACATCAGAGCTGATAGCCAGACGCATCATAACTGATAGTTGTTCAGAGAACAAATGGCTAACCTATTAGGCAATAAATCCTGCAAGAAGGACTAAACATCCGAGTGGAGGAGAATTAAATGCAAGAGACTGAAAAAATAAAACCATTGCTGAATGCCAAACAGAATGTAGAGCATTGTTATGATCTTATGTTATTATTTTTACAAAAGGCAGAGGTTTTTGCCAATTCTACAAATGACGAAAGTTGAAAGAAGCTTTGGAGAGTTGATGAATAGCCGCAGCGTGCGTCACACTTCCTCCCCTCGTTCTCCGTCAGTTCATCTTTGAAAAAAGGCCGTCCTTGAAAACAGGTTTATGAAACACGACGGAATTAAATAACTGCAGCTACTCGATTGCTTTTGAGTCCTGTCGCTACAATGCAGACCACAGAACAGACACATCTATTGCGCAACGTTACGGTTTGCAGAAAACAGGCCCGTGCGCACAGGCATTTAGATGCATGCACGGAAAACAAAACTTGATCCCGAAATTGTCCGAACCCAATTTGAGCCATTTAACAATCCCTCCCACCCCCACTGCTACCCCCAAAGAGCCAGCTGAATGTCGGCGAATGCTCACCATTAGCTGATGAGGGTTCTGTTGTCATTTCAGCTCTGACCGACCGACACTCTTCTCATCCAGATGCCAACATAACAGCATCAGGTTCCAACAAGACTCTGTTGTCCGGACTAATATGGCCATTATTCTCTCCTTACCCTTTTCACACAGGGCTCAGTGCTCTCCTCCTCCTCCTCCTCTTCTTCAGACCGGTCACATGTGTGGGTGTGAAAGAGTAAAAGCATACTGTGCTTCTGATTCATACCAACTTCAAATCTTTAAAGGTCATCTTTTTTTCTTTTTTTTATAAAGAAGGTCAAATCTTTTGGCCATTTTTTTCTTCCTCTCCTTTCCCACACTTTTCTACCAGGTGATTTTTTTAAAGACTGGAATCCCTTAGAAACTTGATAATATCCAAAGTTTTACAAATTCAACATTGTCAGAAAATCAAGATATCCTTAAAATTGTGTTTTAGCTGATGTTGACTTTGTCTCCGGATCAGAGAGAAGAAGAATCACAGCACTAAGATTAGAAGAAACTTTATTGATGCTATACATCATGTCTATCGAAGCAGTTTGGTTTCCTTGGCCCCCCCTAAACGGGCCACACCGCGGGTTTTGATAACTTCAGGTTTATTAGGTGGATGTTGTCTGGCAAGACCTCCAAATTGCACTAACAGAATGAAGGTCGTTTTATGAGCTCGTAGGGAGTGTATCAAGTGCTCGCATGCTTTTTTTTGGTACTTTTTTTGGGACAAGATTACCACAGATTAGATTACGATTTAGTACTGCCAGAAAAGCACAGTGGCTTTTCTGGGACTGACTAACCTCTCCCCAGTTCCACTGTGTGGATGCTTGGCATCTGTGCTGATATAAATCCAGAGAGAACTACTTTAAGGCAGAGATATAAAAAAAAAAATCAAAAATAAAATTCACAAGATACCTGTGTGTTTTATGCGTGCATTTATGACTAATGGAGAAAATAATGCACCTGTTTGGGAATTCAAGTGATTTTCATTTCGATTTTTCCCCCACTCGTTTGTCCTTACTTTCCAATATGGACGCTGTCTATTTATGAGGCTGTTGGCATGGAAACCGCGCATGTTAATGCAATATCAGGACCCACGGGACACACCGGTGTGTCCAGGACAACGGACACAAGGCTTGCTGTGAGGTCTGGGTAACGTTATGGTTCAGGGAGAATGATTAGGCCTCCTGCTACTTTTATCTAGCAGTTTGTGGTAAAAATGGTGGGCAGAAATTGAAACCAGAACAAATACTATATAAGGTTCTGATATGCAAGTTTCTGAGGATCTTTGGGTTTGATTTTCTTTAAATCAAGGGACCTCTATAACCTCTTTAATAGCAATTGGGTCAGTTCATTCCAGGAAAGCTGTGCTTTCAAGATATTTTTATTCGTGCTGCAGGAGAAATTTAAAAATAACTCGCTGTTGTGTCTTGAGCTGAGACAAAAGGTTGACATCCACGCGCGACCGCAATAAATCTATATCCTTTTAGCTCTAAATGGATGCCTTGAAGCACCCGTAGAAAAGAATGGTCAATTAGTCACTTAAACATCCAGATGCTTCATGTCCCATCTGTTTACTTAACGCCATGACATTATGTAAGGATGCTGTAATGGCCACTAGAAAATCCTGATTGGATGGAAACGCTTCAGGACAAAATCCAGCAGAGCTGGTTGGATACATTCAGACCAGCTGAGCAGCAAAAAGACCCGCAGCACAAAGCAAGCATCCCATCTTGGCAGTGTAAAAACCCCCCAAAAAAAAAAAAAAAAAAAAAAAAAAAAAAAAAAGAAATCCCCAGTGGGGGAAAAAGGAAAATGAAAACAGACACAGATGCAGCTGCGATGCGATATGATGCTGCAAGGTGTTTCCCGTGACCCAGTACTGGCAGAGGCAGGGCGAATTAAATCAGGAAACTGCTCTTCAAAAAAAAAAAAAAAAAAAAAAAAAAAACATTTGACTTGGTTTCTCTCTGTGGGTCGGTGTCTACCTCCAGAGACTCAGAATATTTTTTTTCCCTTTCTTAAAAATAGACAAAATCGAGAAGATCTAAAAGGAAACAAAAACAAGAGGGGCAGCAGCCAATGTTGGATCACTGAGTTTTGAAATTGATTTTCAAAACTCATAAAGTCAAAAGGTTTCCGATGAGAACATTTTTTAAAAATTTGTTTCCCACTAAATGAGATTTTGTTTTGAGTCTCCCGTACAATATAAAAACAGCAGAGTCTGAAGAGTGGTTTTAATTACACACAGACTCATATTCAGCTATTGATAGTGCATCTCAAAGAGGACTGGACAAGGAAGGAAAACAATGTAATCAGATCCTCAACAGTTCAGGTTAAAACTGCGTTAAACACAGGAGGAGTTCTGCAGACAATGGACATCATTCACACACATGTTAATAAAAACAAGTTAATAAAGCTTCATTAATTTTCTGTAATTTCATAGCAATTGTAGAGAAAACCCTGACAATTAACACCTTTCTATATTAGCTTAATGCGCTGCTTAACATCAAAAGACAGACCACAATTTTTTTTCGACATTAAAAAAACCAAGTTGGAAAATATAACTGATTCCTGGTTTGATCATGAATTTTTTTTTTTTTTACTTTCCGAAAGTATATTTAATTTCTACAGGATATCGCAAGCAGGAAGAGGAAGGTCTGCTTGTCAAATGATCCACAGTCATCTGCATGAGACTGTATGTTCAGCTGCAACAACTGGAGACAAGCTGGCCTTTAGAATAGAAAGAAATGAAAAACAAGTGCAAATGTATTCACAGCTGTGTTTCCTGCTGGCTTTCTGTGCAACTATCTTCCATCTAGATTTGTTTTTCTTCTTCTACAATCAAAATTAGGATTGTGGGTTTTAAAATGGCACATTTTGAAACCACAAGCACAATGATTCAGTCTTAATAAGATGCACAGTAAAAGAGCAAAGTATGACTGCATGTCTATGCTCAGTCACGTGAGTTGGAAAGGCCTAAGCACAGCTGTTATTCAATTTTACAGTGTTCAAAGCAAACAACTAAATATATGAAGCAGGGAAGGACATTTTGTAAATTAAAACCCTTTACAATTACCCCCAGCATTCCCCAATCTTCTGAAAATAATAAAAATAATTAAAAAATGTAATGCATTTCATTGTCTCAAAAATAAACAATAATCTATATGTATTCCATTATTGCTGAAATTATAAACATTGTGAGAACATTGAGTTGTCTCACGATAATGAAAAACTTTATTATACTATAATTCACCAAAGGCTGTGGTATTAAACCATATTGGTGTTAATGGCAACATCTTTTCGGTTCGCCAAGATGATCACCAGTGCCGCTTCCCTTAAGCTGGTCATAAAACATTGAGCATGACGTTTACCTACATCCCCCAGAAGGCTGAGCGGATCAGTGAAATTATCGTTCAGACGTATTACCGATTGATATTGATCACGATCAAGTGTCTATCAAAATCACATTAGTAGTTCTTTATTAAAGGGCAACAACAGCAATAATGACAAATGAGTAACCACTCCATCTGCTTTAAAGACTCTTCTTTTTTTTATAGACAAGCACAACT